GAGATTTAGAGAAATATAGAGATACGAGATATAGATGATCGCATTTCGTTCTCACCACGGCCCTATGAGGTAAGTTCCAGTATTATCTCTGTAAAAGGCTAACTAATTTGCCAAAGTTAAGTCATGTAGCAAATGGTAGCAGAGTGAGGACCCTGCCGGGCAGTTTAACTTTAAAGCCACACTGCTTAAACACCACCCGCCCATCTGTTCACTCCTTCAGCAGTCCCGTGGAATGGCTGCTACGTGATGGCGACTATTCGAGGTGCTGAGCCATAGCTGTGAACAATGCAAATCCAAATACATGTCCTCATGAAGCTTACATTCTAATGAAGGAGAAAGACAGGAAATAAAATATAAACTAGGTTAGATAGTGATCAGCATTAAGGAGAAAACTGGAGCAGAGAGAAATGTGTGTGGGGGTGGGTCGATTCTGAATAGGGTGGTCGGGCACGGTCTCACTAAGAAGGTGGCCCTGAATAAAGGTCTGAGGAAGTGAGGGAGGAAGCCATGCAGTTATCTGAAGGAAGAGCATGGTGGGTCAAGGAGACAGCATAGAAGGTTCTGAAGAAGGAGCAAGGACAGTCGGTCTTGGAAACAAGTCCAACGTGTCTTAGGCAGTGATCAAGGAACAGAGCAGGAGGGATCAGGGAGGTAAATAGAACCAGATCTTGTAGGATGTTGTGAGTGGCTACTTGGATTTTGTCATTCACTCTGGTGTGATGCAGCCATTTGGATTGGAGCAGAGGAGGGACATGCCATTGCTTGGTTTAAAAAGGATCATTGTTTTTTTTTTTTTTAATTAACATGTATTATTTGTTTCAGGGGTACAGGTCTGTGATTCATCAGTCTTACACAACACCCAGCACTCACCATAGCACATACCCTCCCCAATGTCCATCACCAGCCACCCCATCCCTCCCACCCCCTCCCCTCCAGCAACCCTCAGTTTGTTTCCTGAGATTAAGAGTCTCTTATGGTTTGTCTCCATCTCTGATTTTGTCTTGTTTCATTTTCTCCTCCCTTCCCCTATGATCCTCTGCCTTGTTTCTCAAATTCCTAGTATCAGTGAGATATGATAATTGTCTTTCTCTAATTGACTTATTTCGCTTAGCATAATACCCTCTAGTTCCATCCACATCATCGCAAATGGTAAGATTTCATTTTTTTAAAATTTGACAAAGAGATCACAAGTAGGCAAAGAGGCAGAGGGAGAGGGAGAAGCAGGCTCCCCACTGAGTAGGGAGCCCGATGTTGGGCTCGTTCCCAGGACCCTGAGATCATGACCTGACCCGAAGGCAGACACTTAACCAACTGAGCCACCCTGGCGCCCCAAGATTTCATCTTTTTTGATGGCTGCATAATATTCCATTGTATATATATATACCACATGTTCTTTATCCATTCATCTGTCGATGGACATCTGGGCTCTTTCCATCATTTGGCAATTGTGGACATTGCTGCTATAAACATCGGGGTGCATGTGCCCCTTCAGATCACTACCTTTGTATCTTTGGGGTAAACACCCGGTACTGCAATTGCTGGGTCATAGGATAGATCTATTTTCAACTTTTTGAGGAACCTCCATACTGTTTTCCAGAGTGGCTGCACCAGCTTGCATTCCCACCAACAGTGTAGGAGGGTTCTCCTTTCTCCAGATCCTCACCAACATCTGTCATTTTAAACAGGATCCTTCTCACTGCTCTGTCAGGAAGAGTCTGTCAGAGGGACAAGGGTGGCAGCAAGAGGCTGCAGCAGTCAGCCAGGCCAAGACTGGTAAGCCAGGCTTGGGCTGGTATATGCTGGAAATGTGTCAAGAGCTTCAATTCTGAGTTCTTTGTGAAATCAGAGTCAAAAGATTGGCCAAAACGTGGGATGTGGGGTATGTGAAAAAGAGCAGTCAAGGATGACTTTAAGGCTTTTAACCAGAGCAACTGAAGACTAGAAATGACATTTTTCAGAGATGGGGGAAAATGGAGGAATTGCTTTTGTTTTTGTCTCAAAGGGGGTTGTTTTAAGAAATTATCGGGTCTCGGTTTGGGACGTGTTAAACTGGGGATGTCTATTAGACATCTGAAAGGCAATGCTGAGTGGCATGTCTGGGAGTTCAGGAGAGAGATCCATCTGGACTGGGGTCATAAGCTCTACAAACTACACTCTACTCCCTTCGAGTCACTGAAGACACTGATCCACATGCAGTTTTGGAAAATGAGAACTGTATCCAAAATACTGGAAAAAGGGGCACCTGGGTGGCTCTGTGGGTTGTGTCTGCCTTCGGCTCAGGTCATGATCCCGGGGTTCTGGGATCGAGTCCCACATCTGGCTCCCTGCTCAACGGGGAGCCTGCTTCTCTCTCTCTCCGACTCCCCCCTGCTAAATAAATAAATAAAATCTTTTAAAAAATATACTGGAAAAGCATTAGGAAAGTCAAATTTAAAAATTCACCCATATCCTGCCACCCTAAAAACAGCTGCTTTCATTTCTCCACATTTCCTTCTGTTTTTGCCTACAGGCATACATAATTTTATGTTGTAATCATAACATAGATACAATTTCATATTCTACCTTTTTTCACTTATGATCCCACAAATATTTTCCTAAGAGGCTCCCATATGTGTTTCTTGGGGATTTAAAAGGCCAACAAAATGCTGGGTATCACTGGGAAACATTTCAGAAACAAAAGTCGGAATCTTACTTTGCTACAAAGTTTGGTGCCCCTACAGCTGACATTGTGCTCACTGTAATTTTTGTGGACAGTGACTGTCTGTAGAGGTGACTTTGAGCCCGGACTTGAATGATGAGAGCTGGCCACATACCCAATCTGGGGAAGGGCAACCCAGGAAGAGGGAACAGTGTGTGCGAGAAAGAGGGAATGGCACGTGTTAGGAGGCAACAGGAAAGCACATGATGAGGGTTGCTGGCATATTCAACTGACAAAATCTTTTTATTTAAACTACCCAGAACAGTGGGTACACCCTTCATCTGGGATTCTTTAGAAAGGAACAGAAGCCATATGGAATAATTTAGAACATAGTGAACCCTAGTATGACTAGTAGTTCTTTTTTTTTTTTTTAAGATTTTATTTATTTATTCATGAGAGACAGAGAGAGAGAGAGAGAGAGAGGCAGAGGGAGAAGCAGGCTCCCAAGGAGCAGGGAGCCTGATGCGGGACTCGATCCCAGGACCCCGGGATCATGACCTGAGCCGAAGGCAGACGCTTAACCATCTGAGTCACCCAGGCGCCCCTGACTAGTAGTTCTTAAAGGTTCTGGGCCTCAGACTATACACAAACTCTGCATGGAATCTGATTTGTTCATTCATCCCAGTCCCTGAGCCAGGACTGGAGTCTGGTCCCTTAATTTTATAGAAAAGGCCGAGGGTCCAAAGACAAGTTAAATGACTTGGGCAAAATTATTCAGCTACTTTATAGGGAGTTTTAACCAGGGTTGAATTAGCTCTGCCCTCCACATGGAAGACTAAAAAACAAAACATGATTCCATGCACACGACTCTATCGTTGGCAAAGCCCTTTGTTAGCTGGGAAATGCCCCCTCACTTCTTGGCTCACCTGCCTATCATTTGCAGAGTTATTTACTCAAAAGCTGGAAAATTGTTGAGAAAACCATTCCTCCCTGACTCCTGGCATGGAAGGCAGGAAGCTGGTTTACGTTTCCTCCTAGGGCCAGCAGGGGGGGCACCAGGCAAGGTTTGTGAGCCGCGCCTCCCCCACGCCTCCTCCCCCTTCCGCGCCCAATTTCCCCTTAGCCCCTGCTTCAACTGAAAGTGGCCATTGACCTTTCAAGCTTTTGACAAGTGATGCAATAGAATAGTATTTCAAAGAAAAATGGTTATCGAAATTTTGGATCCGGTTTTCCCGTGAGTGTTAATGGTTTTCAAAAAAAGTAGGTCACACTTAAAGTAGGTCACATTTTGGAGACGGGCATGCAGGCAAGGAGCTGAGTTCCAACTGAGGCCAGGTGGCCTCCAACCGGGTGGGAGGAGGTGAGGGTCTCCGCGCAGGGAAGTGACGGGATCTTTCCGAATTCCCAGTCCCTGGGCGCCAGGCCTGCGGGAAATCGCCGAGACAAGAGCTCTCGGGACTGCAGGCACCGAGGCCGGCCGCCCAGCACCACCGGGGCGCGCAGGTAAGGGCGCCCCCCTCAGCAGTCAGTGCAGGTGAGCCGGGCTGCCCGCCGGAAGGAGACGATGGAGCGGAGTGGGGGAGCAGGAGGAGGAGAGGAGGAGCCCGGCGGGGCCGGTGCGGGAGACGGCGAGCTGGAGCGCCTGGGGGAGGAGACTGAGAGCCGCTAGCGCTGCTTAAGGAGGCGCCGCTCTGCACCCGCGGGCTGCCTTCTAGGACCTGGGCGAGGGCACCGCCTCCGGCCCGCTCCCCTCGGCCCTCATCTCCGGCTGTCGGTCGGGACCGCGGGCGCCTGGAAAGGGGCCTCTCCCACTCCGTTACTGTGCTGTAAAGCGAGAGGGGCCGTTGTCGGCCCCCCCCGTCCCTCCCACACCCCGCTCACAAAATGTGCTGCCGGGAGGGTCGCGTCGAGAAGGCGCGGAGAGGGTGGGAGAGACAGAGCCCCGCGGCTGACCGTGGAAGTCTCAGTCCTCAGACCCCCGCGCACGGCGGGCACGGCGGGCACGGCGGGGGGCAGGCTCCGGCCGGCGCAGCGGGGACGGCGGTGGCAGGGGCGCTTCTCCTGCGCGCCTCCGAGCCCTCGGAGCGGCCGAGTCGGAGGCGGACGGACTCCCAGGCAGCCCGGCCGCCCAGCCCCGCACCGAGCGCTCTGAGCCCGCCTCCCCTGAAGCCTGCGCATTAGCGCCGGAGCCTCTTTAAAGCAGAAGCGGGGGCCGCGGTCACGTGAGGTGGATTCCTGGAAAGTTCCTGGAAAGCGGCCTCCGCAGCAGCCGGGCGGGGCGCAAGGCGAGCGCGGACAGGGGAGGGAGGCGGGGGTGAGGGAGGCGCGCGGGGCTGGGAAGTCGCGCGCACACCCGGCTCCGGGGACAGACATTTAACTCTTGCCATGTCTCGCCGCCGCCACCGCGGCTCGCGGGCCTTGGGCTTCCCTTGAAGCATGAGCCTCCTAGCCCGCCGCTACCGGCGCTGCGCTGGCCGCGGACAGTGCGCCCCGGGGCCCCGCGCGCACAACCTCAGGATCCCCTGCGCCCGCAACCGGGGCGCCGGAGGAGCTCGGCCGGGCGTTGGCGGCAGGTACTGGTCCGAGGAGCCCGAAGGCTCTTCCCCAAGGGGGGTCGCCGGGGAGGGCACCGGGGCGCGGCCACGAGCGCGGGGCGGCCTTGGCTTCCGCAGTTCAGAACCGCCGGAGACAGAGTCGGAGCCGCGGCTCTGTCCCGCAGCCGGGCGCTGCAGCCTGCTTTCTTCGGCTCCTTCTAGACGTCGGGAAGTCTCCGCGGAGTTTTCTCCCCCGCCCCAAACTGCCATCCAAATTAATAATCCTCCTAATAACCTGATCTGCCGCTCCTCCCCACCCGCCTGCCTCCCGCCCTAGCAGCTCCTTCCTCCTCCCTCTCTTCTTCCCACCTCCTTGGTCGCAGCCAGAGGAAAAGCCAGCAGCTGGCCAGGGTGGGGGATTTCGGAGCCCGGGGGTTCTAGGCGATGGTCCCCGGCGCTTTTGTTTGCCCTCTGCGCAAGAATTCTGGCTGCCGCAGAGCGCATCCCCAGGCATCTCGTTCCCAAATTAAAAGTCAACAGGGGAAACTCGGGCAGACACCCCTCCTCTCCCGGGCCCCTCCCGGTTCCCCCGCCCCATGTCCACTGGGGAGGCTGCCTGGTGTGGAGGCGGCGGCCGAGGCCGAGGTAAGGGCTCCGCGATCGTTGTCTTACACGTCCAGCGGCGTTTGCTGCCGCCTGTTCTGCCCCGGCCGGGGTTTCAGCCCCGAGCCCCCGCGAGGGCTGCGCGCTTGGGCCGATTCCTCGATAGCGCCCGCGGCGGCTGCCGCCACTGCGCGCGGCGGGGCCCCCCACCTCTGCCCCACGCTGGCGCTGGGAAACGGGCGGAGGGGAGGGTGCGGCAGCTTCTGCACCTTGGCGCCCCGGGCTGGCGACTCAGGGTGCTTCGTCCCGGAGCCCCCGGGCTGTGGCGAGTGAGACACAGGAGTGCCAATTTGGGGATCTCTCCTATTCTTTCCGATTTTTCTGCTTGTCCTTGACTAGGGCCTATTTGCCACCCTACCCGCAGGTGACTTTGCTCTGCTAGTCTGCGGTTTCAGCCAGTAGCCCTGGGCGGGAAGACACCCTGTTCCCCACCCTCATCCTGTCCCTCCCCACCCCCTCCCCCCTCGGCAACTCTTGCGTCTTGGAGCCCTGCTCTCTCTTTATCCTCTCTCTACAGCTGGGCCGGGGCAGTCACTGGATGCTTGGGGTTAAATGGTGCAGGAGCATAGACGCGGAGGAGTCCCCAGGATTTTCCGCGTCTCTGTCTCCCCACCCACACCCCAGCCTCGGGGGTCCAGCTTGGACTGACCCAAACCCATACTTTCTTTTTGCAGGCAAACTGTGGGTGACCGCGCCTGCAGGGGACTTTGCCATTCGTCCACTGGAACCTGGGGAGGAAGAACCAGAAGCACCCCATCCCCTCCCTCTCCACCATTTCGGATACCCCGCAGGGACTCGTTTTTGGGTTCGCACTGACTTCCAAGAAGGACGCGTGCCCCGCTCTGACCCCATCGCGGGTGGCCACCTGTCTTTGCCGCGGTGACCCCTCTCCCATGACCCTGCGGTGCCTCGAGCCCTCCGGGAATGGCGCGGAAGGGACGCAGAGCCAATGGGGGACCGCGGGGTCCGCGGAGGAGTCGTCCCCGGAGGCGGCGCATTTGGCGAAGGCCCTACGGGAGCTCAGTCAAACAGGTAAGGAGCTGAAACGCCGCGACGCGGGCGACAGGGGTAGCTTCCCCAAAGACGCGGTTGCAGGCTTTGCTGGCGGGGAGCGCGGCTAGGAAACGGGGCCGCGGTGGGGAGCAGAGAATGGGATGGAACTAGGGCCCCTCGGTTCCCGTTCCGCCTCGGGGCGGGGGACCGCGGAGAGGATGCCCGCACGGCCCTGGGTCCTTGGGAATGCGAAAGAAAAGTGGTTCTCGAGGGACTCTGAGGCCTAGGGGAGGGCAGAACGCGAGAAGGGCTTCTTGAAAATAGCCTAGTAGGGCGCTGGAACCTTTGTTTGCCGCGGCCGCTCGGGAGTTGGTACACGGGCTTGAACCCTGGCGGGAGAAAGTGCCAGGCACCTCCCTTTCCGCGGGGAACCCGCGCGGCGAGTGGGCGCTGCGCTGCCTGCGGCTCCAGCTGCATCCGGCTCCCGAGCAGAGCCGCCGCGGCAGCCCGGGATCTTGGCGGCCAAGTTCCAAGCACCGACAGATTAGGGCGCAGGCGGCTGCCGCGGAGCCGGGCGGAAAGCGGCCGGCGGAGCCCCCGCAGAACGCGGCCTTCAGGGGCTGCGCGCCCAGGGTGTTGCTGGTTTCGAGGGCAGTCCTGCGCTTTGCGTGGCCCGCTGTCGTCTTTCGGCGTCTGAAAGAACAGATGGGGGGGGAGGACAATCTGGCAAACTACGCAAGGTTTCAAAATCTGGATCCTAAAAGCTTACGTTTGGGGCTAAGTTGAAGTTTTGGTGGCACAAGGGAGAGGGAAGAGTCACTCGCAGTTCCGGTCTTTGAGTGCCGACCACCAGCTCTCCCTCAGCGGGGCAGGCCGGCAGATTGCAGGTATCGGAGCTGTTTTTTTGGGGGGTGGGGGTGGGGGAAGAAAGCAAATTGTCAGACTTCTTAAGCAGAAGGTCTCGAAGTCATTGCTGAAAACGGGATGGACGCAGGCCGATCAAATCGAGAATGCTGGGGAGACCGACGGTTGTGATCGGATTTGGATTAGGGCAAAGTCCGAAGGAGTTGCAGATTGTAAACTTGAAGTGCTAATTATCAGTTGGGGTTTCCCTCATTTCTCAATGACTGATACGGTAGTTGTAATCAAAGCAACAAACAAGCTGTTAGACTGGGTCTGCACTTTGAGAAGACGTAAATAGCAGTGCTTTCCAAGGGCTTTGAACACAGATGCAGCCCTGAACAGATTTGGGGAGGGGGAGGGTGGATACCAACCTTCCCAAAAGTTCTTTTCGGTTTTTACCCTGTTGGAATTACTGGAGTTGGGCTTTCCACTTTTCTAAGGGCATGACTTTTATTTCTAACTTCTGATTTATCTCTAAATTGCTTTGATTTCACTTGAATAGTGCTAGAAGCATCATGCTTTGTCAGCCAGTGTGTCATACTGCAAATACTCTTTTGTTTCATTAGGAGAAAAATCTTTGGATAATTTAAGGAACAGCTACAGAAAGCTATTTTTTAAAGCCAAAAGCTGACTCTTAGTTTGGGTTCATAAAGTATAATGTTTCTTTAAATTTTCATTTAAAGTTTCATTAAATTTCTACCGAAATTTAATGAAAATTAATTTTCATTAAATTTCTACCGAAATTATTTGTGGTAGTCTCTGGTAAATATTCACTCACACATTTCTACTTAGAGCTAGAAAAACTGTTGCCAGGTATTTGTCCTATTTTAAAAATTCCTTATAATAACTATTTTACCCTCTTTTCTTTTTCTTTTTGAACAAAAACCCCAGGTTGGTACTGGGGAAGTATGACTGTTAATGAAGCCAAAGAGAAATTAAAAGAGGCACCAGAAGGAACTTTCTTGATTAGAGATAGCTCGCATTCAGACTACCTACTAACAATATCTGTTAAGACATCAGCTGGACCAACTAATCTGCGAATCGAATACCAAGATGGGAAATTCAGATTGGACTCTATCATATGTGTCAAGTCCAAGCTTAAACAATTTGACAGTGTGGTTCATCTGATCGACTACTATGTTCAGATGTGCAAGGATAAGCGGACGGGCCCAGAAGCCCCCCGGAACGGCACCGTTCACCTTTACCTGACCAAACCGCTCTACACATCAGCGCCACCTCTGCAGCATCTCTGTAGACTCACCATTAACAAATGTACCGGTACCATCTGGGGACTGCCTTTACCAACAAGACTAAAAGATTACTTGGAAGAATATAAATTCCAGGTATAAGTGTTTCTCTTTTTCTAACCATGCCTCGTATAGAGTCTCTCCGAATGCAGCTATGTCAAAGAGAACCAAAACTTGAGTGACTGCTCTGGATAACTACTCGGGATTCTAAAAACAGCTGAAGTCAATCTAATTTAAACCTGTGCCGAGGTAGCTAGCTATTTAAAGTTCCCCCAAATATTTTCACCTGAGAGTGATGCTTACCTTCCTAAGGCTGACCAAGACCGGTTAATCCTAAGTTAAAAACAAAATGTCCCAAGGAAAGGCTGAAAGGAACATTTTATCAGAATGCCTTTGCCTTTCTGAGGTTCCTCCTTATTAGGTCAAAGGTCCACGCCCTGGTAGTAGGGAGAGAACTGGATGCAGGAGTACAGAAGGAGTGGAGGAACCCAACTGACACCGGGCTTAGCCTCCATTTTAGATGCCTGGTGGTCAGAGTCCCCTCTAGGCCATTTTCTCTTTTTGCATTCTTGATGTACCTAGGAGTTTTGTTAAACAGATAAGCTTGTGAGTATTTATCCTTCATTTATGCAATTAACCAAATCAACCAAAAAGGTGACCATGAAATCCTGTATATGACTTTTTACTACACGTATGAACTCTCTCATGTGAATGAGTACTGTAGTAATCCGTTTTAAGGGAGCCTTATCTCAGAACTATTTCAAACTGGTGCACACGGAAAAGACTTTGTCTTTTCCTTTAAGGCTAAAGACAAGAATGTCATGCTCTACAGGTGCAACTCAATCCCTGTTAATAAAACCATGTAGATACAGACATTTGATCCTTTCAAGTAACTGTGTCCCAACCTGTTGCCATTGACTTTTTGGAAATGGCTGTAGAAATTAACAAGTTGTCCTTAAATTGTCTAACCATGGACATCAGCAGTTGTCTCCCTTCTACCATGTAGAATACTTTGACTTAATTCTCTTCCAGATATAGGGGGATACCTGCCTGTTTTTTCAAAGTGTTTATTTACTGCTGTTACTATTTGACTAGAATGTATTAAATAAAAAAAAACTTGACTTTTACAAGTTGCACTTATTACTTTGAATTGTAGAGAACGGACACATTCATGGTAATAGACAGTTGCCATAAAAACTCATGTCACGTGAAATCAGCCAACTATTCAGCAAGTGGTAGAACATGACTTACCCTTCTCTAAAGTTATGGGCCACATTAGCCCTTTGCGTTTTGGAAAGCATGGTTTCGACAGGACAAGTATTGTCCAGTGGCCTGGTCTTTTACACATTGAATAGGCATCACACTAATGCCCTGGGTGCTTCCAAAAACATGGTTTAGAAACTTACAAAGATTGTACACATCCTGGTCTTTTGTGGGTTGAGTAGGCATAATTCAAAATAAAAATTAAAAGTTTTATGGCTATTTATTTTTTGTCACACAGTCTCATGACTGTTGCGGATGAACATCTTTAAATTTTACAGTCCAGACAGTATTCATTTTGCAGCCTTAAAAAATACCTTGTGTAGTTACGTACTCTGGTGTGTCATTGGGAAAGCGAACATTGTAGATCATGTGTGTGCCCCAAAGTGAATTAGAAAACTTAGTTATAAATTATAGTAAAATCTGCTTACCTCCATGTCATGAAAATATTCACATTTTCAGGAAGCCCTTGAAAAATCGTTTTGTGCCTGGAAGGAAAACCTAACTATGCATGTCCAAACAGCAGAGCCAAACACAAAAGATTGCTAGGTGTGCCTTAGGAAGAGATTTATTTGTAGCCTAAAATTTAAAGAAGAGCGATACTTTTGGGGGTCTGTTCTATGATGGGGACCTTTTCATTAGGGTCTTCAGATTCTGTGCTTAATTTGCCCCTTTTCCCCACTGACAACAGTTGTTTAATGTGGGGTGTCTGACTTTTCTGGCAAACCTCCAAAGGATCGGGGCCAGGGGCTTTGCAATTTCTTTAAGGTCTTTTGCATTTCTGTTCTCATTGATTCGGACTCTGATACTTGTCACTGCTGAGAGTTGGACAGACAGGTGGGGGTATGAGTACTCACGGGACTGTGACAAGGTCTGCATTAGCTTTAGCAGGTGGCTAGTTAGGAGAAAACCAGAGGAGAGCAAAGATCTCTGGGGTGTGCTCTAGAACCATTGCCTTAATGTTTCAATCTTCCCTGTTCCAAGTAAGCTGATAAGCATCAGGAGACAGTCTTTTTCAGGGCGTGGGTGTGGGGGTTGTTTTGCTGTGCTGTTTACAAACATCCTTTACTTACTGAGTTGACCGACTCGAGTTCTCGCTCAGCACTTTACATGCATTATCTCATTTAATCTTCACCCCGACCGAATGAGCAAAGTTCAGTGATCACAGGAGGTACACCTGAGGAGGCATTCCAGGAACATCCCAGCCCTTTTTATTCCTGGAAAGGAATTACAAAGAGCAAATTGCTGCTATTTCTACATTGATCCAGATGGACAAGTTAGAACAGGCTGTAAAAGGAAGCCTCAGCCTTTTTACTGCTGCCTCAATGGGAGAAGTATGGGTACCTTCATTAATGTACTCTGTGGGATTCACATCACCTTGGCCCAGTGGGTTTTTTTTTCTGGTGTGGAGGTAAGTCGGGAGAGGGTTAACTGTCTTACTCAGTTGCTGGTAAATGCTGCCCATTACCGATTGTTGCTAGCCCCATTTTACAGATGGCCGAACCACAAAGTTAGGATGTGCACTTGACTAAATTATCCTCAGCAGAGCCAGGAAAAATCGCCAGTATTCTTTCCCTACAGAGGGCACTTTGGGGCATTAGTGAGGGTATGTTGTCTTATGGTTGTTACTGTTAAAAGAATAGAGTACACAGAATTTACCTATCTCCATGGACTTAAAATATTTTGATGTGAGTTTCTATTTTGAGCAGATTTGTGACAGTGGAGTTTTTTATTCCATCGGAATGGGCTCTAGGGACTGCTTTTTAGGGACTTGGGGTTTTTTTTAGAGCTTTGGACAGTGAAGAAAAGGCAGTTTAGCTTATGAGCTGAGAGTTCTTTTTTGGCATGTCAGTAAGAAAGTCTTGACTTCATAGTAATTATGTAATCCAAATAGGTAACAGAATGGGACAGTTGTTTCGAGTGTTTATTTTCTTGGGAAGGATTTTTTCTGCTTTTAGAAAATTGTACCCTGGTAGGAGGTTAGGAGACAGAGACGTCATCAAATAATCCAAGGGATGGAATGTCCTGAGACCAGGCCGTGCCCTTCTCGGTTGTCGGTTTAGGCACAGGGTAGTGGGGGTTGAGTGACTGTGGTTCCATCTAAACAGCTGGGCCGAGGCCTGTCTTGGCTCCTTGGTCAGGGTCTCGCTTCTAATGCTTCTAAGGGTTGTCATTCATTCTAGGCCTTTCATTTACTAAGAGGCCTGTCACCTCTCCCAGTATTTTATTTCCTAGAATTTTAAAGCTTGAAATCACTTTTCAGATCATATGTTTTAGTTCTGACACTTTCCTGAAGAAGGTTTTCCAGACCCAGGAGATTTGTGTGTACATGCCCGTGCGTGCGCACGGTTCAGCAGCTCAATGGCAGGGTTAGTGTTTGAGCCCAGGTCGTCTAACCTCGGGTTTCATATTTGCGAAAGCTGCACCCTTCTATCCTGTGTGTGAATGGTCCGTGTTCCTCTTTGCTACCCTGCAAGCCCTACAGTGCCTTTTTTTTTTTTTTAAAGACTTTATTTATTTGAGAGCAGAGACAGAGACAGAGAGCATGAGCAGCGGGGAGGAGGCAGAGGGAGAAGCAGGCTCCCCACTGAGCAGGGGGCCTGATGCAGGACTGGATCCCAGGATCCCCAGATCATGACCTGAGCTGAAGGCAGCCCCTTACCCAACTGCGCCACCCAGGCGCCCCCCTACAGTGCTTTTAACATCACATTTTTCTGCCTCTGAAAATTTAGAGAAGGCCTTTGGAATGCTATGTGGGATAATATCAGTTCTTGGCTCCTTCCACCCCAACCCTGGGGAGAGCTTCTGCCGGGGTTCATGATGTCCTGATCCACATTAGAGTGCGGCGTTAATTTTAACTCCTCTACGTTTCTAATCTATTTGCTGCTTTAAAATCTGAAACCTGCCATCCATGTGTGTTTTGTGATCTCCTTTCTCCCTCTGCCAGAGGGGACTCATACCCAGCCATGGGTGCCTGGGTGACCCCCCCCACCCTCCCGTCCTCACCAGTGGAGCTCCTTCTGTGTTTTGCCTGTTCCTGGGCATAATGGCACAGTGAATTGCTGCCTGCCTTTCTCCCCGTTGTGTCATAAATGTGCCTTTTAGCTCATCTGACACAGCCCTGCCCAGGCTTATTTACTGCAGTGAAAGAGAGTAATTATATTCTCCTTGAGTTGGGTAACCCAGTGATTTAGAATATCTGAAGATTAAATCTGTCCCCAATCTCTCTTTGATTGCTTTCAGGTTGTGAAACAAGGAGGTGGCCCCAAATGCCACACTTTGGTTATGGGCATATTTGTGTGTGTGTGTGTGTGTGTTTAATGTAAAGTACCAGACGCTCCTTCTTCACTGTTAAATTGCTCTCCATTGGAATGGAAGGGAAATGCCCTCCACCCCTCCTTTGTCACCTCTGAAAGCGTGAATCTGTGATCATTTTGTTTCCGTCCTCCCACGTAGGCCTCTTTTGTCCTCGGATTCTCGCCACATATTTTTGATTTTTCTGCTTTTTCCTGTCTCTGGCTTGAGTTCGGGTTCCTTCACTTCACTACAAAAGTAAAGTAACAGCTGTCACTACCGTAGGCGGTGAAGAGCCCCGGGATCCCAAATGCCTAGACAGTAAGGAAGCTGAAATCATGGAGCAGAGCTAGATATTCCTTCCTACGCCTTCAGGAGCTTTGGATCAGACTGGATGGACAAGTGTGGTCACCGGGAACGGGGTTCACATCAACAAACATGTACCGAGCCATAAAAAGAAAAGTGCTTGTATAGACAACGCTTAACTCTGAACTACATCCTTCACCTGGAGGAACTCTGCCTTGCTGGAGAGATCGGAGCACATTGTGTGAAGTATTACTCATGTGGTGCTGCCTCTGTTAGAAACTCAGGGAAGGGGAAGGCAAGCCAGAGTCCTAGTGAGAGGGAAGGAGATGGTGCCAGCCACCTTCCTCTTCTGTCAAAGACTAAATAACCACCCAACGAGCCCCTTTCCTGTGGCAGAGAGGGTGAGACTTCATCGCAGAACTTCCGAAAACCTTCCTGAGTCTACCCGGTTTCCAGCCATGTTAAGATAAAAATTTGTTTTGCCAAACGGTTTTCCCTTGTTAGTTTGGTATGCTTTTGCCTGTTTAGATTTGGGTCCAGAAAGCTGCTGTGATCTTTAACATTCAGAAAAAATATTTTCCATGTTGTTCCTACCCAGAGAAAGTCCCATTTTAACATCCCCTCTGCCATCTTGATGA